GTAGTCCCAGCTACTTGGGAGGCTGAGGCAGGAGAATCGCTTAAACCCAGGAGGTGGAGGTTGCAGTGAGCCAAGATTGTGCCTCCAGCCTGACAGCAGATGAAAATAGAACTGTTTCCTGGGGATGCCCACAAAGGAGTACAGTGACCTTTTGGTCCCCCTGTTGGTGCCAGCACAGAGAGCTGCGGGCGGGCTCTGGTGGAGTGCTGGGTAACTGTTCTTGGCAATACCACTAGACCCAGTAGGTCTCTGCCCCACTACTTAGCCTGGCCCTCTGATGCAGGGTTTGAGCAGGAACCTGTTGTTTTAGGAACCAGTGACCTTTGAGGATGTGGCTGTGTACTTCACCCAGAATGAATGGACCAGCCTGGACCCTGCGCGGAGGGCCCTGTACAGGGAGGTGATGCTGGAGAATTATGCAAATGTGGCTTCCCTGGGTAAGACTTCTCTTTTTATTTTTGGCCTCTGCCCTTTGAGCATCTTGGCTTCCTTATTCCTTAGAACTTTGTGGGGTATCTTTTTTTTGGGGGGGCAAGAGTCTTGCTCTGTCACTCAGGCTGGAGTGCAGTGGCATGATCTCGACTCATTGCAGCCTCCACCTCCCAGGTTCAAGTGATTCTCCTGCCTCAGTCTCCCAAGTAGCTGGGATTACAGGTGGGTACCACCTCACCTGGCTAATTTTTATATTTTAGTAGAGACAGGGCTTCTCCATGTTGGCGAGGCTGGTCTCAAACTCCTGGCCTCAAGTGATCCTCCTGCCTCACCCTCCCAAAGTGCTGGGATTACAGGCATGAGCCACTGCTCCTGGCCCAATAATTTTGTGGGGTTTCTAATAACTCCCTGTTGCCTGAAGGCCGAGCTGCACGGAGGTTACTGGGTGGAGAGAGCCCTGTGTTCCCAGGTTGTGAAATTGGCTGTCCCTCCAACCCTGAGAGGGACCGTACCCCAAACATGGGGGGGAAAGGAGCTCTTGGAAGCATAGCAAAGCCGCCTGTGTCTCTGTCTTCCAAGTTCTCTGAGGAAAACTTGAGATTCCCCTATGTAAGCGTGGGATTATTCTGGGACTGCCCGCTCTGTGGGAAACTTCTGTCCTCCAGCAGCACAGATTCAGTTTCTCCCTGCCTCACATCGTCTCCCACTACCTGGCTCAGCAGAGAAAGATAAAGTGGGCTGTGAGAGGACCCTGCTTTCTGATCCCTCGACCTTTTCCTGTTTCTTTCTACCTGGGCAGCATTTCCATTCACCACACCTGTTCTGGTCTCCCAGCTGGAGCAAGGGGAGCGGCCATGGGCCTCGATCCCTGGGAACCTGTGGGCAGGGAGGGTCTCAGAGGTGTCTGTCCAGGTGAGCATGAGAACCCACTAGCTGCCTTTCTTGCTTGGCTTGCTTTCTTGTTTTCACATTTTATTGTGCAAGAAGCGTTTCCTCTCTTGGGAGACTGTTTCTGTTCCTGTGGAATCATTGCATGTGATTCTCTGAGTTCATGGTGGTAGCCTACCTCAACTGGGGAAGGGCCAGTCTCTTTTCAACCGGGAATGCTGTAAGATTCCTTTGCCCAGCCGGGCGCGGTGGCTCAAGCCTGTAATCCCAGCACTTTGGGAGGCCGAGGAGGGTGGATCACGAGGTCGAGAGATCGAGACCATCCTGGTCAACACGATGAAACCCCGTCTCTACTAAAAAATATAAAAAATTAGCTGGGCATGGTGGTGCCTGCCTGTAATCCCAGCTACTCA